AGAATTTTCACTGACTTAGCATGGTTTTGTCCAGCTTCCCCACCCAAAATTACTTTGAAATTTTAAAATTTTACTTCACATAACAGGCCAATTATAGTAAAATCTTACAGATCTGTAAAACACTTTCACATAACTTCTCCACTTAATCCAGAAAAGCAGAATCCAGCAATGGGGAAATTAGAATCAGAAACTCTAAGACCAGATCAGTGTTTCCATTAAAAAAGAAGCAGTATGAGGCCAGGCACCATGGTTCATGCTCATCATCCCAGCACTTTGGGAGGCCAAGGAGAGTGGATCGCAAGGTCAGGAGTTCGAGACCATCCTGGCCAAAGAGACCGGCCTGGCCAACATGGTGAAATTCCGTCTCTACTAAAAATACAAAAATTAGCCAGGCATCGTGGTGGGTGCCTGTAATACCAGCTACTCGGGAGGCCGAGGCAAGAGAATTGCTTGAACCCGGGAGGCGGAGGTTGCAGTGAGCTGAGATCACTGTATTCCATTGCACTCCAGCCTGGGTGACAGAGCGAGATTCCGACTCAAGGAAAAAAAAAAAAGAAGCAGCAGCAGGAGCTGCATGAGAGGTGCCCCAACCCACCCATTCTTCGCTGACTCCAGTCTCTATGCACACATCTAAATCGGCATGTGCTTGCTGTATCTCATCTTTATTCTACGTTCTTGACTCTATGGAGAAGGGGAAGCTAAAGGATAGACTGAAGGAGGTGAGCCTGGAGCAGCTCACAAAATGGGAGCAGGCGTTCCATGGGGAGGGCAGGTGGAGACACAGCATCAAATGGCTGCTCACTTTGTAGTGCAAAAAGACGGACTCAGTGTTTCAAAGTACTGTCAGCCCTAGCTCCTGTTATTCCACAAAGTTCAGCCAAAGAGTAATCAAACAAGGCCTTCCTTTAAATTGAATCGTTAACATTTCTTCCAGAAAGAAGGCTGTCAGCCCTTGGCATGTGGCTTGAAAGTTTAAGCTTCTAAATTCTAAAGAAGAAGAGTGAAAACATTTGTTTGTCTGGGTGGTCAATAGTACTTATCGGGTGCACGAGCATGTGCATCTGTGTGTGCATGTGCGTGTGTGCGTATGTGTATGTGCGCGTGTGTGTGTTTTGGAGTTTAGCCTCCCTATATAACCCAACAATTTAATTTGACAAAAGGCGACCTGACATTCAAGGTTAGGGTAGGGGTTGTTTTCAAAGGAGCCAAAATTCCTCAGATTTGGGGAACCTCCTGAATCTCTACCCCTGAACACAGCAGTGACCCTGGATGTCAGCTGTGTGGATGCTTTGTGAGGAGAGGAGTTTATTCAGCTCCGCTAACCAATAAAAACAGGGCTTCATGTTGGCGGGTTAAGCCAGCTACCAGTGCTGGCTCCTTTCTGACAGCACCTTTTCAGGGTAAAGAGGACCCAGAGGAGCACCGGGCCCTACAGGAGGAATGTATTGGCAACACTGAAAAGATCTGAGTCTTCAAACAAAAAAGTGCCAACATTTCCGTTCTCAGTTCTCCCTGCTATACACGGTTCTAGGTTTATGGAAATATACCCTTCACTCCCCAAAAAGAAAAAACCTCTAAACTGGACTGGGCTTGCCAAAGTGGTCTAAGCCCTTGCCAATCCAAGAATGGTTCTTGGCATCGTGTGGGAGTTTGTTAAAACCCAGACCAAAACCAGAATCTGACTTTAACAAAACCCCCAGGTGATTTGATGAACACTGGCCCAAGCGTCCCCTAGGCACTATGAGAACTTACACCATTGGCTACGGCCACAGCTCCATGTCAGCGCTCAACTTCTTTGATACTCCTTGACCATCATTCAGAGGAGTTAATGTTGTTTGAACATCCTTTATTTTCAGGCGAACACAAACCCTGAAGCCTCCAGGGGCCTTAGTTTTTTCTCCTATGGTTCTAAGATTAACTCGTTTTCTCAAAATATGAAAAGGAGGGGGAAGGCTGCACATCATTTTGCTATGTGGTCTGTTGTGTGACTGTGAAAGAAAACTGACCTCAAACTTCCCAAGGATGCAACAAAAATAAATCCTCTGCTGACCTCCAGGACATAGAAACAGCCTGTGTCCCTCTTGACAGCCTCTAACTTCCAAAGGGCTGGGAAAACCGCAGGAGGAAAGCCTGGGGTTAGTCCTTTTCCAGGCTATCCTTCTGCACGGCATCCAGGTCAAGCCAGTCTTCATGAGGCACGCCCAGATAGGCAGCTCCCTGGGTCCCTCAGAAGGGCCCTGGTACTCACAGAGGGTCCGGATGATGTCGCTGGGCCAGCTGCGGGGGCTGGGGCCATGGGAATTCATTGCCCTCACGGCAAACTGGTAGTTGGTATCTGGATCGAGGCCCTTGATAACCATGGAGTCCATCTGGATCCGCTCACGGATTAAGGTCCACCTCTTGTCGAAATCTGGCCTTTATTGATTAGAGAAAAAGAAGAAGCAGTAGTTCAGAAATACCAGAGCGAAGGGAAGCTAGCTGGCTGTGTAAACGAACAGCATTTGAACTCTGGAAGCAATACTCGTAAAAGTAAGTTAACATTTCCTATCTGAAATTAATCCTGATTTGAAATCACAAGTCATCATTTGCAAGTCCCTGCCGATAAAAACAAGGAGATTATTTTTAGGGTCAGTTGTAAATACTGCTTAAAGACCATCCGCTTTTCCTTGTAAGGCCCTCGCTATGATGAAAAGATCTTCACGTAGGAATTCACTTTCAAGGACTCTGCTTTCCAGATGTTCACAAACAATCCTCCCTTTGGCAGTCCCCATCCCCAGAGGTCAGAAGAACACAGATTCCGTCTATTCACAATCTGGTCACAAAATAAATATAAGTTTTATAGGGTGACTAATTGCATGAATTGTCATGGGAAAACCCAAGAAGAATCTGTTCACGGACATTCTTAGTCTTAACGAATGATACAGCTAGGCCAATGTGCTGAATTTTTACATGTCCTTTGGAGGACCCTTCAGAGAAGGCAGACCTTTGCTTAGAGCTCCCGTCTGGGAGGTAATAAACAGAAGGCGGGAGGATGAGCTCTGGAGTTCAAATCCTGACTCTCCTACTTACTAGCTGCTACTCAATTCCTTTAAGACTCAGTTTTCCCATCTGTAAAATGAGAATAATAAAAGGACCTACCTAAGAGGACAGTCATAAAAATTAAATAAGATATATATCTCCAGCCTAGTACCTGGCATCAAATTGTAAACACTCAGCAGGTACCAGCCATTATACAAGGGACTTATTCACAAAACGAGTAACTTATAGCTGCCTGCTTACTTTATACCTGCATGATCCAATACGGTACCACTACCCCATGTGATAGTCAGCACTTGAAATGTGTCTGAATTGAGATGTGCTATAGCGTAAAATGTACACTGGATTTTAAAGAAAAATAAAAAAGAATGTGAAATATCTCAGTAATTTTTATATAAAATTTATATGTTCAAATGAGTATATTTTGGATACAGTGGGTTAAAATATATTACTGAAATTAATTTCATTTCTTTCTTATTGCCCTTTAAGTGCCACTCTTAGAAAACGTAAACTTTCACATAGGCTTACATTATATTTCTACTGGATAGCTCTGCTCTATGTGGACATCCTAGCTGAAGGGGAGAAAAAAAAGAACATTCCAGATAATAAGAACTACAAGATAAAAGTTGGAAATAATTGTGCATGGCCTGAGGACAGTGTGAATGGTCTAAGGGGAGTACAGGCTTTGTGCTAATAACATCAAGGGCTTTCCATCTACCAAGCACCCTTCTAACTCATTTACTGCTCACAAATGCCCTATGTAGTAGGTACTAATATTAAACACCCCCACCTTCTTTTTTTTTTGACAGATAAGGGAACTAAGGCACTGAATGGGTAAGTAACTTGCCCAAGGTCACATAGCTGATAAATGGTGAGGCCAACTTGGATTGGTAAAATGAGGTTAGATTTAGAAGATCCTTAATACTGGATGAAAAACTGGAGTGATGGCGGATGAGAGGCAATTCCCCATCACTTTGCTTGCTCCCTGGCCGCCTCTCAGGTGTTCTGTTGTTAAACACCTCTGCCCACAGCTATTTAGAGGAAGGCAGGAAACAAAAAAGTTCTGTTTGTCTTTGATGAGCAACTTACCAGGCAAGGAAAGAGACTCATTTTGCTAAAAGAAGATGCCGGGGTGAACAGCTAATTTCCTTAATATGAGCTCGCCCAGTTTTTCATTAGCAGGAACGATTGAAAGCCCGATGGAGTCCTTACGCCCGGTAAATGATGCTTCCTCAAGCTTACTGAGCTGGGAGTAGTGTGTTAATGTGTTTGGAAAAGCAGAGTTCACAGGGTATGCCCATGGAGGAAGCAGGGCTGGTTTCTCTTTCCTGATATTCTTTCCCCAAAGATGGAATTCTCATGTAAACTAACTTTATCATCAAAGAGAAAACCTCGGTGAGTGGAAGGAAACACATTTACAAACTCAAATTAGAACAAAATCACTTCGCAGAGGAAAACCACAGGGGATATCTAAAAGTAAAGTCAGAAAAGATGTGATCTTTAGATAAAACTCTCCTGTTATCCTTTGCTAAGCTTCCCTTGTGATATTTATAGAGGAAATAACCCATATCTATTCTCACAGTCTGCTGTTATTTACCCAGGACTACCTGCAAATACCTGCAACAATCTTTATGAAAAAACTACAGCAAAACAAAAAGGAGATGATTTTGTACATGTCCATTGAATGCAGAAAAGAAAAACTGTAATTTCCAGCAAATAAGAGATTGAAATCATTAGCATTTATTTTCATTCTATAGAGTGAGAGAGATGAGCTCATGCAGATTGAATGCCAGTTCCAAACCTTTAACATTTTGCCTCTGATTTTGTCATGAGTTTCTTATTTGAATGTTTTTAGAGTCTCTTGAGGTACAAAAGTACAAAGGTGAGGCTGAGAAAGAGACGACCAGGCAAAAGTATTGTCTTAAATCGTCTCCCCAAACAGCTTTATCTTTTTTTTGACTGAAAAAAATCACTTTATCCTAACTACAAAGTTGTTGGTCAGATCACTATAGCAACACTATCTTGGCAATGTATTCAACAATGAAAAGGCCAGAGGGTAAGAAGTTGACTGAGAATGGGCTGCCACCCCCGAGGAACAGGTGGACACCTGGCCAACTGGTGGGGTGGCTTAAGCCTGTGATCCCACCACTTTGGAAGGCTGAGGTGGGAGGATAGCTGGAGCCCAGGGGTTCAAGACCAACCTGGGCTATGTCTTAATTATGTTTGACTATGACTATGTTTAATTAAAAAAAAAAAATTAGCTACGCATGGTGGTACACGCCTATAATCTCAGCTAGTAAGGAGGCTGAGGTGGGTGGATTGCTTGAGCCCAGTAGTTCAAGACCAGCCTGGGCAACATAGTAAGACCTTGTCTCTGCAAAAAGCTTAAAAAAAAAAAAAAAGTTGGGGGTGGGAGGATTGCTTGAGCTTGGGAGGTTGAAGCTGCAGTGAGCTGTGATCGCACCAATGTACTCCAGCCTGGTGACAAAGTGAGACCCTGTCTCAAAAAGAAAAACAACCTCAACAACAAAAAACATGGGCAGTCACCAGCAGGGCCTACACTTCAAGCATTTTGCCAAGTAGTGAGATAGGGTTGGGCCAGGCACCCTATACCTCAGGAGATCAGTGGCTCACCTTTGGAAGGTTACTGGGCAGGGGACTTCAGATGGGGAATAGAGAATGCAACCAGCAGTGGGTACTCAAAACCCAATTCATCAATTCACTTAATCAGGTCTCACTCACTGGTTCATTTTGCTACTTATCAGTGGCATTGTTACAATCCAACCTGGCTATCAGAGCTGGGTGAAATCTTAGAGATAATTTGGTCCAAGCGTCTGAGGGCTCTCAGAAATTGTATGCAAGATTTTACACATGAACACATTTCATTTTTCTAAGTAAAGGGTCCTTCACTTTTATCAGATTCTCAAAGATAAAATTATGATCCCAAAAGCTTTGAGAGTCACTGATCTGACCCAGTCTCTCCTTCTACCCACACAGTCACTGAAGAAAAATAATTTACCCAAAGTCACAGAACTACTGGGTGGTATATCTTTCTGTTTTAATTCCTTTCTTGAAGTGTTCTAACTACCTTGCCCATTGCCAATCTCAACCTTAGTGAGCGATCATTTTTCTTGATACTATCAAATCCCATAGGTGGCTGCCATGGGCTAGTCGATTGGTAAATGATGCATGATTATCAACCAGGCACCCAACACAAAAGTTATATTCCAGGAGGCTCCAGGGAAGTATAAGCACAGTTCCATTTTCAGGGAGTTTATAACCTAATAAACTGGGAATATAATACATCTAAGCATCAGTGCGGAAACAGTACCTCTAAGGACCAGTAGGAAGCCAGCGCGAAATAGCACATTTCAAGAACTGTATTTGAATAGGTCACTGTGAACTAGAATCCTGAGGGAAGTCTAAGTCCCAGAATCCACATCCTAGGGAGACATGGTTCTCTACGTTGATCACTGGGCAGAAGTTGCTCTAGACCTATCTCCACTTGATACAGAATCCAAAGAGTGGGTACTGCTGGCTTAGGTGGAGGAAACTTAGTAAGGATAGGATGGTGTCTTTACATAAGAGACAGACAAATTAAGATGGTGTGGAAAGCTTCTGTGTTTTCCATGTTGGACTAAGAGGCCCAGTGGTTTCTTACAGAGAAGCCAATGGCAGGAAAACCTTTTGATGTCCATTAGGAATGACTGACAATGAAGCTGACTGCCTTGGAAGGGATGAGCTGTGCCTCGATGACTATATTAAAGCAAAACTGGGTGGTCCTCAATCAGGGATGATAATGTAACAAGTGACTTCCTGATCAGGGTGGGAGCTACTTAATTCAGCATCTCTGACCTTGACTCATAGTAAGTAATACATTTTTCCATAGTAAATATACCTATGCACATGAATATGTATATTATATATGAGTACAAAGCTGAAAAAAGTTTCAATAAAAAATATTTAGCTTTACTACCTTATTCATGTTTCTCCTTTCTTCCTCTCCTTTTCTGTTCTTTTCTACTTCTTTAAAAAAACAAAATGCTGGTAAAGGACCACTAAATTGATCTTGCCCCTCACTGAAGTGCTGTGGCCCATAATTTGAAACACACTGCACTAAACTTTTCCTCCTAGAATACCTCAGATGGCATTTCCAACTCTACAATTCCAAAAATAAAGAAAGCGGGTGTCATTAGCCCCTGAGAGGAATCTGTTCCTTGAACTTGAATTCAATACCAACACATGGCAAATGAAGCCTGTTCAACCTCAAACATGCTCTGGATTTATCACATATCAGAGCTGTTTTTGAATGATCCACAGTAAGATATACACTGGACATTGTGACCCAGTAAACACCACACACACACACATACACCTGA